TCAGGGGGAGAATTCTCACTTTTCCTGCAAGAGATCCCATTCGAGTCCCAGCCAGCACACCTCACGCACAGCTACCACCTGTCTGGCTGTGAAGGCTTGGCGGCTTACATGTTGTGATGCTACAGGGCAGGTTTTAGCAAAGCTTCCAGACTAAGAAGAAACGTCTGGAGACCCACTTCCAAAAATCAGGCAGTGAGAGAAGTATGGATCATAAACACCTGATCTGCAGTTCCTCACGGGGGTGGCGCAGGACTGGGCAGCATTTCGTCTTCATGGGTGGGGGGCTGCACTATCTGGGCCAGAGAGAGTAATGGGACTGGGAGATGAGAGGAGAGTTTATTCTGACTCATGGCAGCCCAGCAGGAGGACAGACTAGAACTGCCGCAAGGATTTCTAAAGCTGTCATCTTTACAGAAGCAGATGCCGTGGGGGGTGGGGGTGGGGGGTGGGGGCCAAGGTGTGGCTGATGGGCTCGCATAGACCACCTTTCCAGTAAGCAGCCGAAGGCTTAAGCATTGTGTCACTAGAGCGCCCTTGAAAGGTATTTGGGAAGGTCACATCAATTGAGTGGCATCCAAACCTAAAAACCAAACTGCCACCAAGTTGATTCCAGCTCAGAGTGGTTTCCAAGGCTGTCATTCTCATGAGGGCAGATCTTTTTCCCAATAGAGCCGCTGGTGGTTTTGAACCGCCAACTTCATAGTTAGCAGGTCAGTGGTGATTGGATGACATAGATTTCAATTGGCTCATGTATCACCTCCCTTAGATCGTCAGTATAATCTTCACTTTATGGAAATATTCCTTTAAATAGTAAACTGTTAATGCATTTACCCCAAATCCCATAAGACAGTAGAAGAATGCTCCGTTGTAGGCTGTAAATCTTTGTTTATCATTTTTTAAGCAACTTCTTTATTATAAATTAGATGAGGGCTTACATTTCAGATCACCAACTTTGTATTCAACAGTTGAAACTACTCAGTAAATCCTCCTCAAGGCTGTAAATCTTGACAGGAGCAGAAAGCCTCATCTTTGTCTTGTGGAGTAGCTGGTGGATTCCATCACTGACCTGGTGGTTAGCAGCCCAACTTGGAACCCCAGGACGCCTTCAGACATTTGTTGTTGCTAAGTACCATTGAGTCAATTCCGACTCCATCGACCCAGAGCGAAACACTACGTGGTCCTCTATCAGCCTCACCACTGTTCCTATGTTTGAGCTCATGGTTGAAGCCAGTGTGTCAATCCATCTCTTGGAGGGTCTTCCTCTGTTTTATTTTTTAATTTATTATTTTTTTGGGGGGGTCTTCTTCTTTTTCAATGCCCCTCTACCAAGCACGATGTCCTTCTTCAGGACTGATCTCTTCTGATCACATGTCCAAAGTATGTAAGACATAATCTCACTAGCCTTGCCTCTAGGGAGCACTCCGGCCATACTTCTTCCGAAAACAGATTTGTTTGTTCTTTTGGCAGTCTATGGTACTTTCAAGATTCTTCACCGGCACCACAATTCAAAGGCATTGATTCTTTTTCGCCCTTCCTTATTCAGTGTCCGACTTTCACATGCATGCCTTTGAGGCAATTGAAAATCCCATGGCTTTGGTCCGGCGGACCTTAGTCCTCAAAGTAACATCCTTGCTTTTCAACACGCTAAAGAGGTCTTGTGCAGCAGATTTACCTGATGCAACGCTGAAGACATTTAGAATCATTTTAAATACATATATAGAATTTTCCCACTAACTTCTGAAAGACCCTTCACATATATATGTACATTTCCCAAAACCAAACCCATTGTCATGTCATCTATTCTAACTCATAGTGACTGTAGGAAAGAGTAGAATTGCCTCCAGATTTCGGAGGCTCTAAATCTTTATGGGAAGAGACGGGTTCATCTTTCTTCTTCAGAGTGGCTGGTGGGTTGGAATCACCAACCTTGCTGTTAGCCCAATGCTTCTCCCACTTTGTCACCAGGATTCTTTATATGTAGATACATGCTTTAACCATTTTCTAGGACCTCCGTATCTCTTCAACATATTGGTTGGATTAGTTGGCCCATAAATTTGCTAATCCCTCCTCGCCCTGTGGACATAGGAACATGTAAGGCTGGAACCCGGTTAGGATAGAAATTGTCATCCTGTTGGATTCATTTGTTCCGCTGAAACGAATGCTAGTTTCAGTGAATAAGCCTGGTTTGTTTGTTTTGTTGTTTTTTTAAACCCACAGTCCTCTGGGACTGAAGGATGGTTCCGTGGAATTGAATAAAATGACACTATTTCTAGTAGTCGCAGCACATCCCTGGAGATGCAGAGCAAGTGGAGACAGCTGATGGACCGCTGAGCTGAGGGTCTCCCGTGGGGAAGTGGGCGTGGGACCTTCTCTCCGCCTCCTAGGTTTGTGCCCCTCCGCTGAGGCGAAGGCGGCCTTACTTTCCTAGGTGGGGCCCAGACTTCTCTGTCTGCTGCCAGCCTGGCCCCAAACCTGGTGCTGAGGCAATTCTGACTCCTGACGACCGACCCCGTCTTCGTCTGAAGACAGCCGTGCTCTGTAGGGTTTCCCGTGTCCGTTAGCGTCACGTCGGGGACAATAGGACCACGAAGAAACACAAAGCAGGTTGAGGGGGAGACAGAAGGGACTGGGATCAAGCGGGCTAGGTCACCGATCTCAGCGGCGTCTTTTCCCCTCCGGAAACGCTTCGTGGCTGTTGACGCCCACGCACAGCGACCCCTTGTGGCAGCAGGGAATTGCCCCCGCGAGGTTTTCTTGTTTCTTTTTCATCTTGACAAGAAAAACAATCGCCGAGCCTTGCTCTCGAGCCCCCCGGGTGGATTCGGATCGCCAAACTTTGGGTCGGCAGCGCTTAGGCATCTGTCAGGGTAGTAGGAGGGGCATTAATTTTTTAAGATACGCTAGAAACCGGAAATTAATACCCCCCCACTAACGAGCCTGCAGGATCAGGCACCGCCGCCTGCGCCCCCTGGTGGCCACGGCGAGCTTTCCACCCTCTCGTAGAGCCGGACTCTCTGCCCGGAGTCCGGATCCTGCCATCCTGTGGTCCTGGCCCTGCCTCCCTCCCACAGCCGGGAAGACGGCTTCCACAGCGGGTGTGAGTTAAGCACGCGGTTCATGTGCGGGAGAGGAAGCCCGGGGCGGGTGCTGGGGGAGCTCCAGCTGCAGCGACAATTCAGGTACCCACCCAGCCTTTCATCTCTCACCTTTGCGGAGCACTTTCCTCTCTACCTGGAGCTCTGGTGCCTCTGTCAGGTGAACATTGGACTGCTAACTGCAAGGTCAGCCATTCAAATCCTCCAGTCTCTCTGAGGCCCGAAGATGAGGCTGTCTGCTCTAGGGCAGGTTTACAGCCTTGGAAACTCCATAGAGGGTCGCTATGAGTTGGAGTAGACTCGATGGCAGTGGATTGGCTTTTTCTTAACACCTCATTGTTACCATGGTGACAATCTTTTAGCAGCCATATTACTCCTGTGCAGTCTGTCAGACAGGGTAACCGAGGCCCCGAGAAGCCAGTAAGGCCACGCTGGCAGTAAGGTATGGTTCCTGGAGGACCAGACCCCACGGCACTGGATTTCTACTTTTCATCCCTACCCCAGAGCCACAGACAAAGGCAGCAAGCATCCTTTCTGCAGCCACACATTCCTTAGACATGTGGCCTTCTAAGGGAGGCAGGGGTCACTGGCATAGCATGTCCCATGGCATGGACAAGGAAATCAGGGCCCCAGGTGGAATGTCATGCA